AGGTGGATGGGGGGACTGGGGACTGGGGACTTGTGTGTGATGTTGCCGTCGAAAGCGGCAAAAACAGTTCAGCTGCCACAGCTCGAGTCCCGTTCGGTTTGGGTATCCAGTTAAGGTGAACTGCCATTTTACAGTTTGTATATCAAACTCTGCTAACCCAGAAGAGGCAACAAAAAATTGCCTTACATACAGTGCGCGGGGTCACGGCTTCAAATCGTCGCCGTCACACAAAACCGTGCCACTTTTTTCCAGTGCACTCGCTTCGCTCGGTTCTTTTTTTTTTTTTTTTTGTTGTTGGTCAGCGCCAAGGCAACTTCCAAAATGCATTTCACTGTGGCTTTCATTTTCGTGCTTGCTGGCCACGCCCACAATGCCACACTATCCAGCCCCACTATGCCTCCCAATGGTCAGCTGCCACAGCATCGCATCGCTTTGGTTATAAATTTAAGCCCTGCGTGGTTTTAATTTTTTTGAGGTTTAGTTTTCTGTTTGTTCTTACTCCTGCCTCGTTCTTGTTACTCTTGAGCTGAAGCTGAAGCTGCAGCTGAAGCTGGAGTCCAGGTTCAATTCCCACATGTCCTCGCTGTGTCCCTGTTCGGGTCAAACGTGTGCTCTCGGTTCAGTTGGGGTTTAAACGGTTAAGTGCTGGCTAAATTGTTTCATTCTTTCGTCTTGCTTACCTTTGGCCCCGAATAGCAACCGGTTTTTGCTCTCCCTCTCCCTCTTTCACCCCCTTTGCCACATTCTAGATACCTTTTGTATCTTTTGTTCGAAAGCATCCGTCTGTCCGGACGTGCGTGGCTAAGGTTAAATTGCACATGTTGCCCCAATGCGTTTTCCTTTCCCATCCACATATCCATGCTGCTCTCTTACTGCTTCTGTTGCTGCTTCTACTTCTGCCTGATGGGTTTGTACTTTTGGGTTTAACCTCAAGGTGTTAAGCTGACGTGTAGCTGCCATTTTTTTGTTTAGTCTTTCCACCTGGCTAGTGTATTGATTCCGCCAGATAGACAAGACTGTCTGTGGGCGTAATTGGCAAATGATGTAGTTGCAATGGCCAAGACAAAGAATGAAGGCAATGTGGGGGAATGGAATGCCATGCCAGGAATACAAAAGCAAGCAGGTGTAGCGATTATCGCCAGGAAATCTTTCCAGTGAAAGGAGAATATGCCACAACATCTCTCTGGAAGCATTTACTCCTTGTTCCCACTTCTGGATGCCTGTATTTTTAATTATGAAAATTTCATGCCCAAAGTCAGATAAAGCAATGGAGCGGCAGGCCAGGCAGTAAATAAAAACGTATACGCACCATTGACAATAGATCGTTGCCCTTGCCCCAGGCTTAATTCGAAACAAAGCGAGTGGGAGAATGCAATATACCATGTTGAAGGAGGAATAGCGCTGGTGGTACTGGGACTGGGGAAATCCCACTGAATCAGTGGCAGTTGATGAAGCAGCCAAGGGCCACGAATACTCAGCGCATAGCCGAACCATGGTGGATTTAGGATGAGCGGCATAATACCTGTGCGTGCGAGCGCCAGAGCCAGTACTCCAAACTCCGGCCAGAGATAACGCCTTTGAGGCCGGTTCGAGTTTTGCAATTGCAGCTGCAGCTGTGGCGATGCAGCCGTGACCCACGCACCCCAATGTATCCTAAGAGCCAACCCCAGTGGGGGGGAATTTTAGCCTGTGGCTGGCCGTTTTTGAAAATTATTTTCATTTTTCATTCACCGGCTCCCCGTTGCGTGTACGCAGGCTGTCGTAAAAACAGGGAGCGAGAGCCTCGGACAGGCCTATCACAGACTCGCAGAATATCGGCCGCAGAACTCCACTGGCCACTCGCCACTCGACCATGGGATGGATACACGGGGATTGAACTAAACCACTCAGCGAGGACTCATCTCCGTGGAAAGACTGACAGGGCAACGCAAAGCACAGGCTGTACATCCCAAGAAAAAAAGGTAAAAGGGAAAAGGTATTACTTGCTGTATGCCAATCCTTTTAATTAGCTTCTCAATATTGCTTCCCTTGCGACGACATTTTGACAAATTAATTTCCGTTCTTTATGCTAATTATTTTATGATACCTTTGCCATCAAACCGTAGACTGCTTTCATGTTCAAACAAATGATACAGAAAAGTATCTTTTGGCATTTTGTGTAACCTTTCAGGTCACTGTGCAATGTGCGATGGATGGGCCTTTTGGTCTGATTTGAAGCGTGAAGAGAAGGAAACGGGAAATTGTTCGTTAGAAAAATTCGATTGCACGCTGTGTTGGGTAAGCGATGCGGATGTACGTATCAGCGATACGTAACGAGTCAATATCCAAGGGTATAAGCCGGAAGCACGAGTACGTCTTTGCCAGACAAAAGGTCACGTAATGTGAGACGGGAAAGCGTACATCATTTGAGCATATTCTTAATACGTAAGACTGCTTTCAGCTTCATAGATGTTCGCCGAGATATTAAATTTATGAATGGAAATATATGTGTTCAGTAAACAACTTTTAAAAATCCTGCAACATTGATGAATAAAGAGATCTGGCTCTAGACATCATCATCATCGTTATCCCCCCATCAGTTACAACCGCCCGGCTCAGCCAGCCTTAACGCTACAAGTAAATCTGTGAAATTAAAACAAAATGTCAAACAAAATGTGGCCCACGCCCACAGACAGGCAGACAGGCAGACAGACAGAAGGGGGGAGGCTCGTTTTACGTTTGTTTTGCTGTTGTGGTTCTTGTCGGTGGTTTTGTCCCCCTGTCCTGCCACTCCACATGTGGCAGTGGTGCACAGGCACAGGCACAGGCCCAGGCACATCCGTCAACTGTTCATTTGTGTATGCAGATAAAATACAAATACGATACATATCCGGCTGCTGCTACTGACTCTCGTCATGTTATATTTCTGAGATTTAATCCCAAGCAGAAGGATACACCCAAACCCATCCTCTGCGCGTATCCTCGCGTATTTTCACGAAGTGGAGGGAAAAGGTGTTGCAATGTACGTGTAATTGGCATGCATATTATTTGCTACAAATGAGGCAGCAGTAGGAATACAAATTCTGGTTAGTATTTCTACTAATAAAGCCAACAAATGACTCTTTCTGGTGTGTGTGTGTGTGTGTGTGTGTGTGTGTGTGTGGCATTAACTATGTATCATATGTCATAATTTATTCTTCATTTTGCAGTGACATCTACATACATCTTTTTTTGGGGGAACTACTCTATTTATTTGATTTTATTTTCTGCTATTTTCCAGCATTTTTATACAGTTTTTTTTTCTACGAGCGAACGACAATTTTGAGCTCATTAAAAATTTTCAACTGAAATATTTTGCCGGAAGCGGTGAGGGTCTGTGTGTGTGTGTGTGTGTGTGAACCCTCTACGAGGCACGTTTGCCACATGTGCTTATTTGCTAGTAGCTACAGTATTTTCGAAAAGTATACGCCACACTTGGGTTTTGCATGAAATTTATTAAAATAAATTAAATAAAACTAAAATAAAAACCATTTTAAAATCTGCATCTACATATTTTCTGCTAATTTAATGTAGATCTACATACCTTTGGTGGCCACTGTACGCATGCAAAATTTGCTTGCGTGTATTTTGCATTTTAGTTTCCCCACATCTACTGAAATTAAACTACAAAATTACACACGGATATATTTAATTAGATGACATACCCCTATTATGTTTTATTTAGGACTTGGTTCCGTGCCTCCACACACACATGTCGCATGTCGCCGCCCCCACACCGCATCACAGTCTGTTCAGCAGTTTTTGCAACGTGATTTGTGTTCGAGTCACATCCGCACAGGTGAAAATTAAGCTACCGCATTTAAATGTGAATGTTAAATAATATTTTGTGGCCCTGCGAATGTGTGGCAGTAGTCGGCGCTCCGCACTCAGCAGTCACCACCAACCAGTCGGTTTTGGGTTCAATGACTCAACCAAGCTATAGCCGATGCTGTTTAAAACTTGTGGTAAACATCCTTACACGAGTGCGGGTGTGCTCTCGGAGTTCTATATATATTTCTTGTTGTCTCGTCTACGTCATTACCACTTTTATTGCCATCCTCTGTGTCTGGATGGGTTTCCTGTATCGATGGGTCGAACGATATATCAATGACACACACAAGAACCGGATCTCCGCTTTTGCCCCTTCTCTGGTTGCCATTTCAAGCGACTGGACTGAGTTTCTTTTTTTATAGAAATATTTCTTAGAACTATTGCTTAGCCGCAGGGGAGATGGGATACTTTTTTTCGCTTGTGCAATTTTTTTTTTCCCTGACATAAAACTCACAATCAGTCGCCATCTTAGTTGGTTGGCTTTTTGTCTGCGCTTCATTTCATTCCTTTGTTAACATGATTCGATTTTTATTGCACCAGAAAAAGGATTTGCTCCATTTACCTCAAATGCTTTAGCACCCACCCACCTCCCCATCTACCCCATCCCACCATGCCCCGGCTGCCTGCCTGCCTGCCTGCCGACTGCCGGAATGTAATGGAAAGTGCTGTCGTCTTCATTTGGGTGGCAACTTAATTCATTTGATGCATTATTTAAATTGCAGCGCCAGCAGTGTCCTGGAAATCCGCAAAAGAGCCACAAAGCTTACGGTTCAATTCATTTGTTAGTGTGAACCCCGCCCGGCGCAATCCCTAAACTGATTGGTTTGCTTTCGTCCCCATTGTCTGAAGGTTAAGCAAAGGATGTGCTAAGCCTCTGGGGACTTTGCTTTGATAACAATTACTCATGAACACACATCCGAGATTGAAGTGAAGATTGAACTTGCCTCCCCCCGTACCCCGAAAACAGTGCATTGAACTCTAACTTTTAACTGAAACTAAAATGATTGATGCTTCTTGATTGAAATCTCATTTCAATTCCCTATTAACTATGGGAAAAAGATTATTTTGGGGCTTATTTAGTTATTTCTGTAAGTTTCACTGAGTTTCTGCTGGAATTTTCATTGCTAAGGCGACAGCTCGAAACAAAAACCACATAAATCTGGAAAAAAAATATTCATCAAGTCTTCTTTGCAATGTGTTTGTCCTTGTGTCAGCTCCCTTCTCTACTATTTTCTCCCATATTTTCTCATTCACATTCGGCAGCTCTTGGCGTAAACACCTAAAATTGTTTTGACTAGTCTCAAAAACATTTTTTGTTTAGTCTCAAATTTTTTTTCTGGTTCATGGTACAAAAATTTCTCAAAATTGACAAAATTTTTAAAATAATAAAATGTTTTTTTTTGTTGAATATTTTGTAGAAACGTAACGGCTTACAAATGTGCGGACCGTGCTGTGGACCCTGTGGTGGCTGCTGCGGACCTTGCGGCGGCTGCTGTGGCCCATGCGGCTCCTGTGGCCCATGCTGTGGTCCCTGTGGCAGCTCCTGCTGTAGCCCCTGCTGTGGCCCATGCTGTGGACCATGTGGATCGTGCTGCGGACCCTGCGGATATTGCTGATGCCATCGAAGGATCTGACCGTGAATCACGAACTTTAATTTGAGACGGCAATAAACAGGGCTTAAAGCGTTCAAATTTTGATGCTTAATGACCATCAAAGCCCAACCAAAAGGCAACATTGTCTCATTATGGGGGGAAGGTTGGGTGCCAAACTGAATGTGGTTAATGGGGGGGAGGAGACAGAAGGCAGAAGACCTCATTAAAAAATCAAGCAGGTGCAGTCATGCCACTGGCAATGCGTAGACGCTGCTCCGTTTCAGTAGAGTGAGAGGGCGGCTTGACTTACCGATGACATGCACACAGATACGCCACACACATGCATCAGCCACATAGCTACATCCACACACGCGCACTTGGGTATCCTGTCCATGGAGCAGCACACACTTGTGTGTTGTTGTTTGGTGCCTGAGCTAATGGCAAATGCCAAACGAACGAAATCGCAAAAACAAAAAAAAAAGAGAAGCATCCCTGAGTCCGACAATGGTTCTGCTTCAGGTTAAGTCTGCAACTTGGAACATGCAACAGCAACACACACACACACACACACACTCAAGTACCATGGGGACAAAGGAAGCAGTTAATTTATGCCAACATGCTCTGGGTAATTGCCCCAATGCAGCTGCAGAATAAAAGTAGTCAAGGCATAGAGTGAGAGAGAGAGAGAGAGAGAGAGAGTCTCAGTGTCAGTCGCAGCATTTAAATTAGCCAACTAGGGGATTTTAATTAGTGTCAAGTGCCTCAAAATAAATGGACGCCCGTCACTGGCGCAGTGGCGCAGTGTGGAGGAGCCAATCAAAGTGGATTACAAGTCAAGTCACTCATACGCCCTGTGAACCACCCACTCCATAGTCAATTATTAATGGCAGCTCCGCTCCTACACTCGGGAGTGCAGTGTGGCAAAAGGGCTGAGAGCTGAGAGCTGTGGGCTGAGCGCTTCTGATTGCTGACATCTCAATTCATTCTGGAAATCAGGGAAAAAAACCAGGCAAATTGTTTATTGTATACTTGTATTAGAATGCCAGGGGTAAATGCCTGGGGAACTGATTTTCATCATTCATTTTCCGAGTCGACTTTTCCACTTTCAACGCTGAATTATGAAGGCATCCCTGCCCCTCGTGCCCCCCCGTGCCATCCACACATGAAGCCTGCATGTGAGTCAGTGGCCAGAACAAGTAGAACTCGATGACGCTGTGCTGGGAATACATCGAGTTGGGGGAAATGTGAGAGATCGACTGAGGTGGCGGGCTCTCGGCGGAGGCATGGTATCTGAGTGGCATGCAAATGGATTGCCCTGCCCCATCATGCAATGCGAGAAGCAGCAGCAGAAGCAGCAGCAGCAGAGCCAGAAAGGGCTACAATTTGAGCTCGACTGAGGCTGCTGTTGGCATCCAAGTCGAAACGCTTAATCAGGGTCATATGGATTTCCAGGCGAATGAGCTAACCAGCAATTCGAGGCCACACATATGCTGCCGCATCAATGTTAATTGGACTTGTTTGGGGAATTCCCACAACTTAGATATCGATCAACGCATCAAATTCGAGTTATTCAAACTTGTCATTGTTTCCTTTTGCTGTCATTCGAGTATCAGTATCTCTAAATTGTAGTAAGTTGTTTGTCCTTGTTGGCTTAAAATTATTTCCAAAATTAATTCCGTTTACTTTTATTGGCAGCAACGTTTTGATCCATTTCTACTAAAACGTAAGACTCTCTATCTGCGGTAGTTAACGTGCTCTAAATTTATTTATGTATTTTCCCAGACCATTCTGAATGTCGCTGCTGCAGGAAATACGTGAAATGAATGAGCGTCGCATAGAACTGAATATTCGGTATTGTAGCGCAGCAATCAACAATGAGCGTCGCCGCATGGCACTGATTCTACGGTATTATAGAGCCTTTCGCCAGGCAGCGCAGGCTGCAATAATCGGCGATGGCCTGCATGTGCGTGTGGGCCCAGGACCGAATCTGCCACCTCAGGAATATCGCTTTATCACAGAGACCTTGAACTTTGAGCTGGAGGGGCCCCGTGCACACCGCTACTCAGGCGGCGGCGATGCCGAAGAGTGGATAGGGGACGACATCGAAAGCCAGCAGTTGGAACAGAATGAGAATGAGTCGGAACACTTCGAAGAACACGACGGTCCACTCAACTTGGCACTGTTCTCGCTGGGCAGGCATTGGAGTGAGGCCCAGCCGCACTTCAGTCGCCAACAGCATGTGCCCCGACGAACGTTACTGTCGCCGCGACTCACCCTCGAGACTAACTTGAACTGCAGCTATGCTAAGAAGATCTTCAAGACATTCGTCAAGATGGCATTTCACACCGCCCTACGTTTGGCCTACTCTGAGCTCTCCTTCATGCACTAAGAATGGGATTCTGCTGTTGTCTTTCAGCGAATCCAATAAAGGGACGATCGCAGCTTTATAGTCGAATCGAACGTTGCCTGCTCTCTGTTAAACCCAGTGCCAGAAGACAGCTTCATGCATATGCAGGCAGCCCGCCCACATTATCATTTGTCCCCACTGGCTTATGCCCCAGCAGCATCGAGTGCAGCCGCACCACCACTCTGGGGGCACACTCTGTTGCAGGTTACTTTCGTTGTCCAGGATCTTGAGCTACGCCATTCCGCCGCTGTTGTGCATTTATGGAAATGCCCCTCTCTGTGTGTGTGCCTGTGTTCCCCTGTTTGTGCGGCAGTGGGGCAACTTCGTGGCCGAACTAACCAAAAAAATGAACAGGAACAAAGCAGCGATTGGAGATAGCTGACTTTCGAGTACTCTCATTCGTAATAGCCAAAGGAGTATAGGGAAATCCTTGCATGATTCAGCTAGGGCATTCATTTGTCGCTATCTCGCTGCCCTGCCGTGCCGTGCCCTGTCCTGCCTTCTCCCATATGCCTCAACTTTTACACAACGCACCCGAAATAACAAGCGATGAACAGCGCGCACAACAGGCATGCATGTGGATACCACCACGCATACACACTGTGGCGCACACACAAAGCACACACAATCGCACCATACACCACACACTCTCACACACACACATGGGGAAGACGCGCGCGCTGCGTTCATTTTGCGCCTTATCTGCGGTCGCAAGTGTTGCGCCATCGCAGCCCGAGTGCCTGAAATTATGCTAATTTTTGGGTTTTTATGCAGCCAGCGACGATGCCAACATGGGGCAGAAATCTGCATCACATCCCCCCAGCGCGGTGGAGGCTGCTCCTCCAGCAGCTGTTGTTGTCGGTTGCTGCTGCTGCTGCTGCTGCTGCTGCTGCTTCGCTGCTGCTGCTCCGGCTGTGCATTTTGCGGTGGCCATGGGGAAGAGAGAACGCTGAAATTTACAGGCAATGAGTGTACACGAGTGGGCGTAGCAGGGGGAGGTTGGACAGCTGATAACGCAGCATTAATAACACCCTCTTGGCCTGCTTTCTCTTTCTTGATGATTGAAAATCTCCAGCAAACAGCGCGCCCCAAAGTGTGCAACATTCATTTACTTATCAGGCTCGGGGGGCAGCTTCAGCTTCAGCTCCGGCACAAGTACAGCACAGGACAGGCCAGGCCAGGCCAGGCAGTGCCCCGCTCAGCCTCGATATTTGTGGCACATTTGGGAGCTAAGCAGGCACAAAAACAAAGAGTCAAGCATCTGCTGCTTCTGCCATTGCCTTTGCCTTTGCCAGTGCCATTGCCACTGGTCTTGTTGCGGCCAGTGTTAACATAAAACTTGTCCAGCGATAAACTCTTGGCCCGCCTCGGACATTGTCCAGCAAACATTTGTTACCCGGCCCCCAGCCTCTCTCCATTGCTGCCATTGCTCCTGCTCCTGCTCCTGCTGCTGCTCCTGCTGCTGCTGCTCATCGTAGTCGTAGTTCTGTTTCTGTTGCTGTTTTCTGTTGCTGCTGCTACTGCATATTCAACGCCTTTTCCATTTCACTTTGCTCGCACAGCATTTGAAAATTTCAAATTTTTGTTTGCCCGGACTCTCCAGTGGCTACTTAGAAACTCGACGAGTGTTGGCCTGCACTTATCCCTTTTACTTTTGGTGATAAAGGAGTCCGATACGAGTCCAATGCTTGTTGCAACAAGCATATGAAACCTTACGAAATTACTGAAAAAGGAGGATTTCCTACTCGATCTGTAGCTCTTGCAGCACACATATACATACATATATGCCTACAAAAGCCTACAAGTCCTTGATTTTCGAGAATTATTCAAGCTTCATTCATTCATATTCATACACTCTCCTCTGGCTCCACTTCTGCATCAACTTTTCTGTAAATCAACACAGTGGCGGTAACAAAATGAAAAGTTTTGCCCGCCGAATCGCCAGCCTTATCACCGACCACCACAGGGTCAAGGGTTAATGAATTCCAACCGTAATTACTTGTGTTGGGCCAACACGTGGGGGGTGGGCAGTGATTACACCCACGAGCCCAGACCCATCTGCCGCCTGATGGGTTGTTATTACCGCCGACCAAGGGATCCTTTTAATTATTGTTTATAACCGTCGGATGCAACTTTATCTTGTTTATTTTATTATATTCTGTTTTTTTGTTGCGCTTGTTTTTCGCTCTGCTTCGCGGCATTTAAATATTCAAACTGCGGTGAAAGTTTCGATTGTGCTTGCAGTTTTTCCGCTGAATATTTATAGCTACAATTGATATTGTGCTCCGGCAAATTGTACTTTTGTTTTGCATTTATTTGTGGGTTCGATTTCACTTGCATATTTAATTGAATGATTCGCTTTTTTCGCTCCCCGGTCTTGTTATGCAATTAAATCAATTGTGGGAAAATGGAAAACTTTGTTTGGTTCTTCGCTCATTTCTTGGGTTCTTTATGGTAGAGGCTAAAGCCGATAACCTTTTGGGGGTGGCGTCGGATGTCGCCCCTTCCCCATTTACCATATCCAGCAGCACAGCCTGAGCCTGAGCCTGAGCCTGGTGGCACCCACCTGCCCTATCCTATCCTCCCCCTTTTGCTGCCATATTTCAATGCGTCAACGTCTGTGTCTGCTTCGCTTGTCATGCATTTTACGCATGAGAAAATATTTTCAGTTAACAAGTGCCGAGGGTTGAGCCAGAGAGAAAGAGAAAACAGCAGGGTTGGAGTGGGAGAGAGAGAGAGAGAGAGGGGGATGCAAAAGCAAAATGCACAAGAAAATTCCCATACAAATAAATCGAAATAAGGCAAAGTTGCAAAACGGTGGCGTCGACGGGTAACAAACGATGCTCCATGCCAACGAGGCCAGCGGTTGGTCGCGCAGACGGAAAGATTGGGGGGACAGCAGAGAGTTTCAGGGTTTGTTTATGGCGCGATATGAATGACACGTGACTGGGAGACACAGCAGACAACGGTAGAAGGAGGTAGCAGCAGGAGTAGGAGCCACAGCAGCAGCAACAGCAGCAGTAGAAAAAGGCACCAGCAGTCGCTGGTAAAAATTATGAAATTTAGCGCAAAGCCACAGAGCTGGCTGGCTGGCTGGCTGGTTGGTTGGCAGGGAAAAAAACACATTGAGCACAGACACAGATACCCACACACACAGTGACACATCCAGCTATGTGACAGCTTTACCATATCGCACCTGCTGCACACCACACACTCGAATGCAAGGACAGCACAGGCAGGCAGGAGGTGTGAAGCCTCGACTCGACTCGACTGACGGCCAATGCGCTTAGCACTTTCATTTCGTTTGCTGCAAATTGCTTAACCACAATGCATATGTATGCAGAATGGTGGCTAACACACACACCCATACACCCGTACACCCACTCACACCTCTGGAAATGATGGCATTAGCAACGTGAGCTTTACGAGGTCTTTTTTCCCGATGCCTTCCGCTCTCCACTTAGCAAGCAGCAACACGGCAACAAGCAACGCAACTGTTGCAAGGTGTCGCCACCAGCTGCTGTGCTGCTTTGCTGCTGTGCTGTGCGGCTCAATCCAACAGCTTGCCTGTTCCGTTGCTGATACCCTTGAAGGGGATATTATAATTTTGAGCGGCTGTTTCGATGAATCACAGAAGGAAAAAACTTACCCAAAAACATTGGCAATAAACATTGCTTTACCAGAATCCCAGTCAAATATATAGAATAAGTATATCCTGTAGCTGATCAATCGAAAAGGGTATAAAAAGGTTCAACCTACCATACTGTTTCACTGTCTCCTTCTGCCTTTTTGCTGGGTTTTCTTTTGCTATACTAAACGAAGAAGTGCGATATGTAAAGCTTAATACAGGTATCACTCATCTGCAGTTGCTAGGCAGGAAGACAGACACGCCCTTGGTGGTGTTAGGCAGATACTGTCGCATACTGAACAATGTTGAATGTTGAATGACAAAAAAACGTATTTCAATGTAATTAGTTAAATGTTAGAAATCGTAATACTTTGTAATTCCCCAAAAAAGCTTCAAAGTTTACGACACATCTCCCCACCCCCATTCCATTGCCCATTTTCCATATCCATTACGAGTATATGGGGACATTTTGATTTATTCACAATCCTATTTATTTTCCCATCAGCAGCGTTTTCCTGACTGACTCACTCTATTTTCCGCATTTGAATCCTCGCATGATGTAATTTATTTCCGTTTTTTCTTTGACTGAGTGGAGAGAGTGAGAGGGTGAGTGAGGCAAAGTGTGTGTGGCAGGATTTGTCTCTTAAATAGGCAACAATTTCTTAGGCAATCCTCGATGTAAGCTCTTATGCTCTTGTGTGTGTGTTTCTGGGTGCGTCCTTAATACGCATTAGTGTAGGTGTCTATAGGCTGATTATGCCTCTGCATCAAATCTTTTATGCTGCAAAATTCGCAAATGGAAATGTAAATTCGCAAAGGAACAGCTTAAAGCACAAGAAAAGGAACGAAAATGGATTTTTCTCTCATTATTCGAACACTCTATATATTCTTTATGAAGCACGGACTAAACTCAAAACAAATACCCCGGCAATCAATTATAAAAGTTGCTCGCCTTTCCCTTAAGTCGCTTTAAACTTTCCCGTTGGCTGGCCATTTAATGTGGGGGAAGCTGCACCATTGACAAATCGCCATAATCGCTCTTGATTATTATTTGGTTGGCCAGTTGGTCAGCCGAGATGCCATTAATATTTGCCTGCCGCCCAGCCTCTCCTGCTGATTATGATTTGTGGTTCCGTGTTGCTTTGTTGCCTGATTGCCTGATTGTTGCATCTGAAAGTAGTTGTAGGAATGTCTGAAAAAGTTAATTTCCCCAATTTAGAATACAACTCAAGGGCTCACACAACTTCAAACCCGAGGCATGCCTCTCAGTTTGTGGACTCTTCTGGTCATGTGCAACTGTCCGAAACTTGACAAAGTCCCTTAATTGTCGGATGCCTGGAGGGTAATTGTAATTAAGTGGAAGTGATTATGGTCCCAGAGCACTTTTCCACAACTCTGAATGGAAAAGGGAATAGAAAAAACCCACAATACATGATGTAAACTCTGACGGTAAGCTAATAACTTCTCTCTTTAGTGCAGAGTATTATTTTCATTGTCAGATATCTGCAGATAACCTACCTCTTTCAACCAATAAATAAATTCAGTTATAAATCACGGCCCAAACGCACTAAGGATATAGCTTAAGGAGCGACTCGTAGCACCCCCCTCTAAGCTACAGGAAGGAACATGTCAGTTGCACCAGACTCTTGCTCGGCCTTTGCCCAACCACAGGACACGCTACACACACAGGAACGGACACTCACTCGCACAGGTGAGCCACCCACCCAGCCATTTCTCACTCCACCGGACAGGACAGCACAGGACAGCACAGCACAGCAGTAACCACAAGGCCATGCCACTCGCACGCAAGCCACTCACTCGTACTTCCTGTTTTTTGTTTCCATGGGCCACAAAGTCAAACGTCGCATATTAAACAACATTTGTCTGTCTCTCGTCGTGCGCATAAAGTGGCGAATCGAAGCAGCCCCCACCCCCCGAGCAGTAGGTTTGGGTCCACATTTCCCCCTATTAATGTTAGGTATGTATCCCAATAGTTTCTCGTTTCGCCAATAAATGTGTATGTGAAGAGAACTGAGAGATGCCCAAAGACTATCAGTGATCCAAGTGTCAATTTGATTAATTGAGCGTTCTGTTGAGAGGTTTCCCCCAGATTCAGACCGAAACCTCTTCTAAGCCCAAGATGAGGCCTTGGCCAAATGATAATTCAATAAAAATGTTGCATAATGCCTGCCCTTGCTTTTTATAGAATTTCATTCCAGAGCGCCACCCCGTCCTGCTCGTCCTCGTCCACACTTTCAATGTTCCACACTAAAACGGAAATGAATTTTTCCGCTTGACCCAAATCCCACACACATGCATAAATCTGTTGTTTGTGCGCTGGGCTTCTCTTGTATCAATTTAAGCTTTAAGTTTTTGCATGATTTGAGGGGTTTTTTTTTCGTGTCCTCTGTTCTCTGTGCCGTGGCCGTGCCTCTCAATTGCCCCTCGAGTCTCGAATTGACGGGATAATTTATGCTGAAAGAGTGTTGAGCGTGTTGAGTTGCTGATGAAGTGAGGTGAGGGACCCAAAGTACACCAACAAATGGCACTCGAGGATGGGATGGTGAAGGGGCACTAGAGAGTTTAGCTAATTGGGAATATCATTTTAATAGTCGGTGATGCCATGGCATTTGTTCCATTTTTGCTCGCTTAAAGCCAGACAGACAGACAACCGTTTGCAGCTGCAGCTTGTTCCACAGCTGATATATTGTCATTCATATGTTGTGTCAGCAATTTGTTAGCTTTATGGTTGCTGCTGCTGCTGCCACGCCCCCAGCTGCCACATCCACACAGAACCAGCCCATCCCAGCCCGACAGAGCAACGAAAAAGGGTGCAAAAAAAAAAAACACAAAACTTGCATACATAAATTGTATTTATGCACTCCACACTCCACACCCTGCATTCTGTCATTTCCTGATTTCCAGCGTTTTTATGTATGTGTGTGTGTGTGTGTGTGTATTGCTGGCTCTCACGATGGGGAAACGAGCGAATTAAAATAGATAAGCTCCACACAATTTCCATCTAATTTGAGATGGCAACTAAGTATCTTCACGTACCACTCCCTTTGCCCAATCTGTAGATACTTTCCGCATCGATCCCTCACCAATTCTGATTTCTGTTTTGGCTGTCCAACAATTCAAACTGTTTGCAGTTTTATCGTTCCTGTTTTATTGCTAACCATGCATACATATATACGTAATACGTATGTATGTCTGTTTGTTGCCTTGATTACAGTTCAACTTATTTTCTTAGGGGGCAGGACAGGGCAGGGCATGGCAAGCAGGTTACTAAAAAGTTAGTTTTGTTGGAGTTTTTTCTGGGTTTCGTTGCAGTGCAAAATGTTTTTATATGCCAAAGTTTTTTTTATATAGCAATTTAAGGAAACTATAAATTGCATTTGCTCATAAGTTGCAACTTTTCGCAGGGCAAATTAGACTGGCAAACAATCCAAAATCTCGTGCGTCAAGTTAGCTTCGAATTTGAAGCCACAAAATCAATGAGCAAAAATCAAATCAAATTTAAAAATTCCCATACAATATACAAGCTTTCATTCTCATAATTTCCAAATGGAGGATCCACGCAAAAGCGATCTAAAAAAGCTGACAAACGCCATCAGCTTTCTGCAGAAGCGCAAGGCCTCGCATGAGCAGCAGGCCATCGTCGAGGAGCAGAAACTGCAGCAGACTCTGGCGACGACTGATGCAGCTAACAAGAAAATCGAGCAAATGGGCAAGGTGCAGGACATGCGCTGGCTTTTGTCACAGGATCATCATGAGATGAAGATACTCAACGACACACTGCAGACCTTCCTGGACATGAACCAGGACATGAAGGATACCGAGTTCTACAAAGCTGCCGTTCAATACATCGACGAGCAGTGCAATAAGTCGGAGCTTGAGGCACCACCACCACCCAAGTAGCTTCCCGATCGGCCCCCTCCCGCCGAGCCACACACACTAGAAACTTGTTAATTTCAGTGCTTTGGTCAAAAGTTATGATAATAAAAGAAGAACAAAATGCGGTTCTTGCTGTCCTGTCCGCATGGACACATAAATCCGTGAAGGACAAAACTTCCTGTTGAGATCTTAATTATGCACTTTTTCTGCGGACGGATCACCCACCTGGGAGCATACTCTCTCTTCGTACTCCCGGGGACTAACCTACCACTACCTCTCCACTCTCTCTCGCTCCAGGCAGTGTCTTTTTCTTGCTGGGCAGTTGACCTGAAAAAAGTGTGCAGCCCAACCGCATGCTGAAGTAATTTCTACTTAGCCACAACTAACTACGACCGCCATGGAAAAGTGTTGGAAAAAAACTGAAGAGAAAACTTTGGAACGCCTCAAAAATTAAAATAAAGTGCCAAGAAAGTGAAAAGCGAGTGCCGGTTGCCCCATGCCCCCCAATGCTAGCTAGCTACCTCGTGCCATGGTGCCGGACGTACCCCGAACTCAGCAGCATCTTGAAGTTGGCCAAAGCCGTGGCCAAAGCCAAAGCCCGGCCAGAGGCAAGCAGCAGCGGCAACTTCCTCCAACCACTTCTTGTTTCCATTAGTTTCCTCTTTTTTCTTCGACTTTTTCCTTGCGGCCGGTATGGAATAACTGTTACCAGTGTGTGTGTGTGTGTGTGTGGGCGGCCGTGTCCACGGCTCTTTTAATAATTTGTAACTCATTTTGCACTCGGCGCAGCAACAAAAATAGCGACAGCCGCAGCAGCGGCAGCGGCAAACCTTTTGAGTCCCGCTCGAGTCGTGGCACAAAAGGACCAAGTGAAAAGTGCTGAAAATGGAAAGTTGTGTGCCCAAAAGTCGCCGAAAAATAAAATAGTGTGGAAACTCTTCTTGGTTTCTGAGAAAGGACATTGCATTTGGGTTAACAGGCAAATTACGTAATTGAAGTGGTCCAAGAAACAAGCGGACAAGAGTGTGAGTGTGAGTGTGAGTCTGCGTGTGTGTGTGTGTGTGTGTTATGTAAATAAATGCCATGCCATTCAGCATGCCCTTCGACCTAAGTGGATTTCCTTCAATATACAAATTAAAAGCACTAAAAAACGAAAATCTTGCGCAATTTCTCAATTAGATTCCAAATTCAAATTCAAACAGCAACGGTTAGGACTCAGTGGCGCCACTAAGCAACGCAAAGTGTAGCGTGGAACTACAATACTTACACTGGCGCCATTTCTACATGTGGTGTAAAATTTTCATTTACTTACAGTTTGAGGGATATTGAAAACAATGCGACACTGGCGGCAAATAGCCCTCTAGCGGCTTTTTCCTTTAATTAAATATACACAGCGCCACTAAATGTAGCGCGGCCATAAATGGAACCTTGAATCCCGAAATGCAACCGAATTAAAATCGTAGCATACTCTTAGGTGTCAATGTAAAAATCAAGTAGAATAGTTGGCGCCAAGTTCAAATATTTACGGTTTGCTTGCAGTCCAGATAATTTTCGATGCCCAAACCAACATAATGCGATTTAGCAGTGGAGTGGATCCTCTTTTGATAAATATACATTTTATTGCGATTATTCTTAGCTGCAGCTAATGCTAATCTTAGCTACAAATATCTCGCTCCGTATCGCTCCATCCTCCACAAATGTTAAGATTTAGCAACACTTTAATGCAGAAAAGCCTTAGAGCTATAGAAAATCGCGATAATGGCAAGAACTCCCTGGGGAATCATCAGCGATGGAGCCGATGATCGCTTTTTCGGATAGTAAACGGTTTTCTTCGAGAGCACAATCACGTGTGGCGTTTGGGCCGGGGCGGCCGGGGCGGGTGCATTAGGCTGCGCCGTCTGTTGGACATTCACAGTGGCAGGGGCTGGGACATTTGCAGCTGCATTGTGGCCTGGATGTGCTGGAAGAGCAGGAATTACTGGGTGAGCAGGAATGGAATGATGGGCAATGGACGAGGAATTGGTGGCGACCGAAGCATTGGGTGCCACCCAGCCAGCAGCAGGAGGAGCCGCTGGGACGGGAATTACGGCTGAAGGTTGCGGCATCACCGGAACAAATGCAGCACTCGGTGGCATGGCAATGGCAGGCGGCTGCTGGTGGGCTTGTGTCAGTGTGGGGCAGATCAGATGCTCCGTTTCCGTGTAGGTCTTTGGGTTGCTGGCATTGGGCTCCCTGATGATCTGCTTGTAGCAGCCATTGGCATCGGGCTGGCCTGTTTCGATCACGGTCAACTTTCTGGGATTGGGTGTGGCGGTCTGTGCGACTATTTGGACTGGAGCTGCTGGTGCGGCGGCTGGATAGTAATGATGAACCTGGGCCGGAGCTGCTGCTGGTGCCGGCGCTGCTGCTGGCGATCGGTGTTGGGCCACCGCATGGCCAATCAGGCCACCCGCCAGGACGCCACCCATCAAGCCCACGCCTGCCGGAAGGAGAGTTCAACTATTGAGGTTACCTTTCGGGAATATGCAGCGAAAATTTGCAGCTCACCGAAAGCTCGTTTGCGTCCACGTCCTGGGCGTGCCTGGCTGAGCGGCACCAGCGTCAGTCCGAGCAGGGCAACGAGGAATAAAACTTGGACCAAACGACGTCCAGACATGGTCGGTGGTGGAATGAGCACGAGTTCTGTGGGGTATATTTGGCCAAATCGGCGTTCAGACCAGAACTGATCGCAATCATGCAACGCTTCTGACTCAGTGCCAACTTCGGTGTGTCGAAGAATGTTTTTGCCACAGCGCAAATGTTTGAACAGTTGCTTTTAGGAAAGTTCAAGAATAATATACTCGTGTTTATGTGACGCTTTAATTGAATTTTATGCGGCACATGAAACGCTCATTGCCACGGACTCTCTGTGGCTGTGTCTTATACTTCCAGGTGTACTTGGTAGGTTCTGTTCTGTTCTCTTTTTGCTTGTGAGTATAAGAGTATCGCTTATGTCATCTTATAAATATAACATTGGGTTTGTTGGCGCTTTATACAAAGATCAGTTTTATGCGCATTCTGCCCAAGAAAGCGAATGATCTGCCTTGGGTGTCTGTACTCCCCATTTCTGCCTGTCTTTCTGCTTCTAAATGAAGCAGAGTAAGGCACGTTTCTGTTCTCGTAACCCTCTCAGAATCCGTGCATGACATTCCGATTGCCTCGCTGCCACTTTCACCACATCAGAGCCGTCACTGGCTTGCCTTTGTCTGCCATTGTTCGGCTGTCATAAGTCATTTGTTGCTGTTCGAAGACACATCAAAATATGAACAGCAGCAACAATGGAGTAGCAGCAGTCCCCGTAGCAGACAAAATGGAGAACGTATCTGTTCGTGGCTTAAAGTGGCCTGATTTAAGGGCCAAAAGTTGCCAAAAAATAATAATGGAGTCTGCCCAAAAAAAAAAAGAGCAGCAAAACTTTAATTGTTTAATGGGACTGATGCTCTCTGCTGCGTGTCTCCTGGTAGCCGCCCTATTGGTCTTCTCTTGCTGATGGCAACGACAGAAGTCTCGCACAGCTGGCTGACTGGTTGTTAAGTTCGGCATATGGCACGTGAGGGCTCCATTTAATTTTCATAATCTTTGGGGCCGCCACGCCACGCCACGCAATATGTTTACTGTTAACAAAAGGCAAGCAAAGGGGAGAGAGAGAGAGTGAGAGAGTCTCGATACTATAGCTCGGCTATGCTATTGATTAAATCGGCTTAAAGCTTTGACTAATGATGACAGAAGAGATCTCTGGCTGTGGCTCTAGCTCCAGCTCCAGCTCTGGCCTCGGCCCTCTGGCTGCAGGAGAGGAGCGGAGAACATGAAGCGTTAGAGCGCATAATTCGCTGGTCTGGTGGAAAGTGCCAACTCATTGAGCGGTGGGGGAGGGGGGCCTGAGCCTCGGTGTCGAAATGACCTGCATCAAATGCTCAGAGAGCCATGAGAAATCTCCAGTCATTTGTATTCGGGGGATTTGCCGGCAATTTGTGAGACGCGACTTTAATTCGCTTAATAAATATTTGTTTAGTTTCAGGACTACTCTCCGCTCAGGTTGTGTGGTCATGGGGGTGCTGGAAAGGATCTGCACACACACACACAATGGACAATTGTCAATTGCAGGGCATTCTTTGCCTTTTTGGGGGTGCGGTGCGGGTGTGACACTTGAGTTCCACTTCCCTGCCGGCCATAAATCATTCAGCTGAACGCTGAACCAAGATGACGACGAAAATGTCGGAGACAGGATGCGCAAGGATAGCGAAGGAGGAACGAAGACCGACGACCAACGACCGACGACCGTAAGGAGGCGGCAGTGCAGCTCTGCTCCGTTGATGGACATGAGCGAACGTCTTGGGGCCATAGACCCACTCCTGTAAGGATAATGATGCGCAAATCGCTGGCAGTCATCGCTGTCCATCAGCCCAGCCCAGCCCAGCCCTCGGCTCTGCTTTGTTTCATGTTTTGGCGGTGGCTGCGGGGCTCTGTCTCTAGCTTTGTCTCTGGCTCTTAGCCGCCTCTATTATCCTTAATGCGAGTCACTTTGTTAGAAACGTCAGTCGGCCTGCAAGCGCCATTATCATCATCGTGTTGTACGGCCATTCTGGCTGGAAAGAAAAAAAAAATAAATATGATTCGGAAAATGTGCAGACACACAGGCCCCGCCCCGCCCCCCGCACCCACCTTGTGCTTTCCCCAGCCCAACCGAAAATGCACGAAAATAAAGATAAAACATGACAGGCAGTTCACATTCAGTCATTTATAATAAGCCCCAATATGACCGCTGCCGCATGTGGCTCTCTCTCTGTCTCGGTTCTGCCTTCACCGTTTATCATCTGCTTAGCCTCCAGTTACAGTCCGACTTGGCACATGATGCACTGCAGATTGCAGACTGCTGAGCCTGCTGCTGGGCAGACCTAATGAAATAATTGATGTTAGCTATTTACAAGCATCTAATTCCGATTCGATGGCCAGTCAATAAAAATATGCCATAATTATATAGAGAACTCCACTCTCTAGTGCTGCTGCTGCTGCTCATCTGCCGCTGGGCGTTTGCCGCTGGCCGTCTCCTGTTCGTGGCCGTGGCTTTAGGTTAACCAGACCAAAACCAGTCCACGGCACTGGCTGCAATGTTAATGACATAATTTAAAAAGCATTTCATTAATAGCTGATGTCAGAGGCCCAGCCCAGGAGGAGTCTCGCCTGCACTCTGAGGCAATTAAAATGCGCACAAAGAAAGCCAGAAAGCCAGAGAGCCAGAGAACCAGCGCCATCGCCACGTAAACGTTCTGATTGAAAATTCAAAATGTTGCCCAGTCCCTCCCGGACAGTCCAGGCCTGAATGTTAATGCTAATTAAAAGCTGTTCGAATAGCAGATGAATGAATAAGTTGCTTGGCTCTTTAAGGTGGAGGCTCGCTGAATGAAAGTGGCTCCCTCCGAGCTGCCTATTGCTGTCTATTTACAGATTTTTTTTCGGTACCAGGAGCAATGCTTATCTTGAACTTTGGCATCGCCTCGGTGGCGGCGATGGCACAAAAATATGTTTGCTATGCAACCCCCCCAAGGGTCCCGAGATGTCTCTTGGCCACCAGCAAAGAGCATGTCAAATCATTTGTATATAATTCACATCCTTTTTGGCTCTTTGTGCCTGGGCCGCAGTGATTTATGGGCTTCTCTTCTGGCTTGCTGTCATGTTTAGAAATGTTGTTTCTCTCTTGTAAATACCAAATACCCGTAGTCGCACCCCATTCTCGTTCTCGTTTTCGTTTTGGTTTTGGGACACATTCCAAATTGGTCCGTGCAAATTGTTTGTCTCAGCACTATTATCCTTTTCGCAGGATGTCGCTGCTGCTGCTGCTGCTGCTGCTTGACTCTCTTTTTAAGTAATTGCTGACTTCTGCCATTTCGGCGGTGAGTTATTCGTTTTCGATACGAAAATTTGATATTCCGACCACATGCTGTGATTAAATTGCTTCCACTGCCATCTACCCGTTGGCTCTCATATCAGAGTATCAGCGTATCTGCAGGAGGTGTACTACGGTTTGCTTTGCTTCCTTTTGGGTTTGTTTCCGTAATTGAAAATAGTTTTTGGCACTGAGAGAGAGAGGGCCCTGAGAGAGGCGTGCCTGCGATTGTAGCCACTGATTATAGTTTCAGTGCAAACTATGGATGGGTGCGGGCCGGGTGCATCACTCTCTCGTATAGGGTATCAAGTGTCGCAGTGCAGCAACGAAATTTCCAATTGTTTCCCATGTATTTAATTACTCAACTTTTGTATCCGCCTGCTCTGCCATTTATCATAACTAAAAACTAAAACCTTTATGCAATACTTGAAAATGCAAAATTTTAGTAAATTGAAAATCGAGTCTCGAGCATTGCGAAACCGCAAAACCCATCGCCCAATAAGTTTTCCCAACCGAGCAGCAGCAGCAGCCCTGTCCGGCCAAAAACTTCAAGACGAGCATGTGCATTTGTCATAAATTAGAAACTGTAACTTGTATGGTGCTGACTTTTTGTGGGCCCTCCACTCGGTCCAGCCAACACTTAAATTTATTGCAAATAACTCTTTCCCCTTCATAACTTTTTAGTGGCACAAGTTTGCTTTGCATTTCTTGCCCCCGGTGTTGGGTTAATTTTTTAGCTAAGCAAACTAATCAACGCCCCTAATTCGGACACTGTGGAATGTGGGCAGTAAGGTCGGAGATTGCAAATGGGCGATGGAGATGGCGCTGGGTGTGAGGCAACGAATGGGCCAGAGGCTAAATGAAGTGTGCACAGACGCAGACCCCTTTCAATTAAGAGTACAACTGAGAGAGTATTCATATCTTTCTGTGTGTGGGTGTGTGTGTGCAGTCAAACAACAACAATCTGAGCCGGTCAACGCATATAAATCTTGGCCTAAGTGTTGTGGTCATTTAGCAAATGTCCAGCCATGCAAATTTGTAAGCAACTTTTGCTCTACTACACCCTTAGCTTATCGTTTCTGAAGATGGGGATGTGCTCGTGCTCGTGCTCTTTGCTTGTGATTTATAAAATGTATTAATTATAAAATGTATCCCCAAGTGGAGTACACAAAACAATGGGCGGGAGAGATGGATAGTCGTAGCAAGAGGGAGGGGTGAATGGTGGATTAAATGGTCCATGAAGAAAGTTCTTAAAGTCGGCATTTATTTTTTAATGCTTCAACTCGGAAATCTTAAAAGTAGTAAGTAATAAAAATGCCACCGATAAAAAATCATTTAACAGCCTGGGGACAATTTTCCAGACATCTTTCTCATCTCCCACACTTTCGTTTTCTGTACGTCTAGTCCCATTTCTCCAGCTCTCTCCACCCACACATAAACACATAAGTGGTAGTCCTGTCAAAGTCAAAAATAAACGCAGCGACAATAATGATTTATGTGAACCGAGTCGAAAAAGCAAGGATCCTTGTTAGGGGGAAAGGCAGGACCCAGGCAGCCAGCACCCAGTACCCATATGAGAATCTGGTGATATGCTTAAGTAGAACGGAACCAAATTGGAGTTGGAAAAGCGCGACAAATGTGAGAATAATATGTGAGACAGCAAATGGGGGAGGGATAAAGACCGAAGGAGCAGACATTTCGCAGTGGGATATAGAAATTATATCTGTAATTATTAAACAGCAATGAAGCCATAAATCTTGCCAAAAATACAAGACCAATCATGGAAGATTGGGAAAGAAATTCCCTTTAAATATAAATTCAACTTAAATAGTTTTCCTCTCTCCATTTTCCGAAGTGTCGAAGGGC